CCCCCCCCCCCCCCCCCCACACACACACACACACAAAAAGTAATATACTATGGTGTGGGTTTCAAAGGTTTACAAGATATAGTTCTTAATGAGTTTAAACCATTAAATGACATATAAAGTCAAAATTATTATTAGTTTTCATGCCATTATTATACTTTCAATGTCAAAATTATAAAAAAGTCAATATTAACTTAAATGTTTTTTTTCATTTATTTTAAATAATTAGTTTTAAAGTCATTATTGTCATTCCAAAGTCATAATTATGAGCGATAAAGTCAGTTATTGGTTTTAAAGTAATTATTATTTGACTCTTTATTATACATACTTGTGCAACACAAAGTCATTAAGATTAGTTTTAAAGTTTTATTATACTTTTTTTTTTTTTTCTTCTATTGGCTGCTCCTTTCTTCAGGGGTCACTGCAGCGAACTGTCACATGAAGACTTGCCAATTGATTTTACGCCGGATGCCCTTCCTGACGCTACCACAGCCCTCTGTGTGGAGCAGAGAACTGCCATCTAGGGCACCCGGGGGGAGCAGATGGTGGGGGTTAAGGGCCTTGCTCAAGGGCCCAGAGTGGGGCAAATGTGGGTGGAGGCAGGTGTGGGTGTTTCACTTTTCCCAGACCCATTTTGATGTTGTCGGCACGAGGAGTTGAACCGGGGAACTTCCGATCACAGGCCCACTTTATCTAACCTCTGCTCCACCACTCCCATGTTTTTGTATACATTCAATGTCAGTATTCTGTGCATTTCATAATTATGGTAAATGGTAAACGGACTGTACTTATATAGCATCTTTCTATCTTATCAAGATACTCAAAGCTCTTTACACTACAATCTGTGCCCTCATTTACCCATTCATACAGAACTCTACTAGATCTATACAACGAATAATCAATGCTTTAGATCACGTTCATAAGCCAATGGGACACACATCGGAGGCTATGAGGGGTTCAATGTCTTGTCCAGGGACACTTTGGCATGTGACTGCTGGTGGAATCAAACCCCCAACTCTCCCATTGGAGGACGACGGCTCCAGTGATGTGCAGTCATGATGACAAGTGAGATGCTAACAATGATAAGAGAAAATGCATTTAACCACTTGACTGTTCTATAAAACTGTTTTCTGGATTATTTTAACTCTTCAGTGGTCAAAATCACAGAATTTACACATTTCCTGTTAAAACGCATGGAAGAAATGCCAGGTGAGACTTTGTAGTGCTGTGGTTCACCTCTGGGGGGCGCTGTGTCATATTAGTATATAAAGTAGGCAGTTGGAGCATAATAATAATAATAATAATAATAATGTCATCACAATGTCAGCACTGTATGTTTCCATACAATGGCAAAATTAGTCTCTGCATTTAACCCATCCACCACCAGGTGGTGCAGTGGGCAGCTATTGAAAGCGCCCGGGGGACATTTTTGGGGATTAGACGTGCTGCCCAGAGACGCCACGTGATGTGCAGTGACTGGGGATCGAACCTGGGACTCTCGGGTCCCAAGCTGGCTGCCCTGCCTCTACACCATCTCGGCCCCATGCACCCTGATTCATTGTTTTGTATACTACTCTTATTTTAACTGCATTTTTACTGTAGTTTAGTGTTGTCATTGTCTCTGTACTTTGTATGTTCTGTTTGGAACAGGTCCCTCTTGTAAGAGTCCTTGTGTCTTAATGAGGCTAGCCTGTATAAATAAAGGTTGAATGAAAAAAAAAAATCACTCATCTTTAAAAATATGTTTATTTATTTAAAAAGAGAGGGGTATGGAGTTGATTAAAGCATAATTAGATGCCTTAAAAAAAGGTTAAATTGAAATATAAGCTTCTATTTTGGGTTCATATATGTGAGTGTCTGATTCCAGATGAGTCAGCCTCACCTGTCACAAACCTCACCGCACGTCACTGGGCTGCTCTAACCGCTCAGCCACAGCCGCCCAACATTTAAATTATGACTTTCAAAGCCTTTATGAGGTTTTTGTAAATCATAATTATGATTTTCAAAACTTTTAACTTTGAGTTTTAAGCCTTTGCTTTGGAACTCCTAGTGTCATGTGTTTGATTATTACTTTTGATTTTGTTCATGTGGTGGAAACCAGCTTCCATACGTTGCCCTGAAGTTAAGCGCTAAGGCCCTCTGAGTTGTGGTTTCTTCACTTGTGTAAATAACTAGCTGTGCATCAGCCTGGTGAAACCTGACTGTAGAGAATGGCCTGCCAATAGCAAACCCATGTCGGTATTATTACGGGGAATGATCTGCCAATAAGATTCCATCTCATGCCTCCTGTGAGCCCAAATGACTGGTGTGTTGGCCACAAGTCAGCGATAACTCAACCCTAATTGACATGGTGTGTGCTGCCTCCCGGGGGCTCGAGAGGGCCGATGGAATGGAGATGAACGAAAAATTGAACAAAGGTGAGGCAATGGAAGCAAACATGGAATGGGCTGGGGACGGGTTGCAATGGATGAAGAGGAGGAATGAGGCAGATGCACAAGGGATCTCTGGTCAGCTGGCAGCAATAGCTGGAGCACTGTCGCTTTCTCTGCTCGCCCCTGACAGCGATCCATTTAAAGGCCTCCTGGTGCAAACAGAGTGCTAAAACCCAATCAAGCGGGCTCAAAGAAGAAAAAACACTTAGGCCTAGCTTCTACTTGTGTGAGCAATTCACCTCAGACTGACCTCTTCAGGCATTTTAAATAAGACGCGCACATCGTGAAGAGCGCAAACATGACACTCAAAGATCCGAGGACGGCTGTGACGCTGTAAAAACCAAAATACACCTTTCGAAATCAAAGATGACGTCGTGTTTGGTATTATTGAGGTCAAAAGAGTAGAAAATGCTATTTAAAGGAAAGGTGGGGAGAAAACTCAATAAGACGAAGACGCCAATGCGAGTTATACAAGTATCAGCTGAGACAACAACAAAACAGTGTTATAGATCATAAAATTAAGTGACCGCCTATAGTCCTTGGGAAAAAAGCTCTCAAAGAACAAAGCTGATCTCCTTGCCTCATAGTCTCCTTTGGAAAGGTCAGTGTGGACTCATTTATCAAGCGTTGTATTCTTTTGACAGAACTGGCAGTCATGTAAAAGGCACTTAAGCAAATTACCAGAACAATCCTTTGAATTAATAGTTTTTATAACTTTTTGTCCGAAATGATTAATAGTAAACTGGAAAAACAGTAGTGGGGGGTGGGATGTCTGCAGAAAGTGAGATAAAGATTGATTTCATTATTTATACTCTGTCCTCCGTGTTGCAGTTAGAGAACAATCGGTAGGGTTGAAATGGGGCGAGAGATCAGAGCGAGGCACCTTCCTGAAAAACCTTCACTCGGCCATGCACGAAACGCAGAAAAGACCTCTGTCCACACATGACAGGATTAGTGTTTCACTCAAATCAATGCTTAGCAGCCCAATGGTGGGTTTATGCCTCTGAAAGAAGCTGCTTGTGCTCAACCAAAGATCAGAGGAAGTTAGACAGCATAATGAAATGACATCTGTCAATGCTGTGTTGGACTGCGTCCACCAGGCACCCTGGTCCGCTTCGATTTAATGTACTCCCCTTGAAATGTTTGGTGAGAACGTAATTAGCTAGCACTGGGCAGGCACACTCATCTGAGACTGGCATCACTGTTTTCTCCTCTCCATCCCCCTGTGTGTTGTTGCACACAGTATTAACAATGACAAAACGGTAATTAATATTTTCTCGCCATTGTCGAGCAAGACAGAGGACATGGGAGTAACGTTGCCAAGGAAGGCCACTGCCAAACGGGCCAGCTTGCCAGCTTTTTTTATTTTTGTTTGGAGAAAAGTGTTTTTTCGTAAGCCAACTGAGCAGTGTTAGAAAAAACCTGTTTCCGCCTCTGTTTGGCCCAAAAATACTCTTTAAAGAACACTTTGACCAACAGTTAAACTTTCTTAGCAAGTCCACTGTCAAAGGACTGACGGAGGCCTTAGTTTTCAGTTTTTACTTTTTCTTTCAGGATTTGGGGGATGTGGGCAGGACCACCGAAGAGCCACTACAGTCAGATGGTATATGAGAATGGAGAGCCGTGCTGGCAGGGAGGTTCACGCACCACTACAGTAAGTACATCCTCATACAAACAAACACATTTTTAGAATTATCAGTAGATTTAAAACCTCAGAGACCAACAAAATCTTAAAATCAATCCTTTTACAGACAGCAGTCCAACAAAATGGAAACCAGTATTGGTGTTTGTGTTCAGTTTCAGTAAAATCAGCTAAAGTATCGCTTTTGATAAATGGTGGCGCAGTTGGTAGAGCTGCCGCCTGTCAGTGAGGTGGTCACCGGATTGAATCCTGGCCGGGAGACCTTTCTAGGTCGAGTTTGCATGTTCTCTCTGTGCATTCGTGGGTTTTGTCCGGGTACTCCCGTTTCCTCCCACAGATCAAAAACATACATGTTAGACTGACTGGTAACTCTAAATTGTCCCTAGATGTGAGTGAGAGAGTGAATGGTTGTTTGTCTCTGTGTCCCTGTGATGGACTGGAGACCTGTCCAAGGTGTACCCCGCCTCTCTCACAGTGTCTGCTAGGTATGGGTACCAGTGACCCCCACAACCCGAAAAGGAAGATGTGGGTAAAAGATAATGGATGTCATGCTTAATTTATGTATCCATTTTGTGCAACACACCATTTACCAGTTGGTCCAGTGTTCTTATGTCCAAAAGCCTCATTCCTCCATATATACTTCTTGTCCTTGTGGATAAATAGCTCAACTTTTTCATTTCAATTATTTGATTTATAAAGCTCTTTACAACTCCTCAATGGACCAAAGTGCTGTACAGTGCTATGCAATGCAAAAAATGTTCAACTAATGCAAGAACACTAGAAATAATAAAAATGAGTTTTAAGCTAGGATTTAAAATCATCTAAGGATGATTCCTTTCTAATATGCAAAGGCAATTTTTTCCCACAATTTTCATCCCCCACCACCTTAAAAACCCTGTCCCCTCTGAGCTTACAACTAGTTTATGGTCCAGTCAGGAGCAGCTGATCAAGTGGACTGGGAGAATGGGCAGGTAGGTAAGTGTAGCAGCTCAGAAAGATAAGGGTGAGCAAAAAAATTTAAAGAGTTAAAAACAAATAAAAGCATTTGAAAATGGATTGGCAGCTAGTGAAGGGATTTTAAAACAGGTTAGATGTGATTCGACTTTCTTGTGCGAGTTTAAAGACGTGCCACTGCATTTTGCACCATCTGTATAAACGGGCGACGGCGGACACACTGAACCCCACCATAGAGTTACAGAAGTCCAGCTGAGTTGTAATGAAGGTGTGGATCCCTGTTTCAAACAACTGCTGGGAAAGAATGAGTCTTATCATGGGCATCTGCCCTAAATACCAAACCATACCATACCAAACCTGCTTTATTTATAGAGCACTTTAAACACCCACAGGACCAAAGTGCTGTACACATAATAAAACAATCAGACAATAAAGAACAATTACAATAGTTAAAAGTCAACATTACAGATGGTGTCAAAGGTCAGGGAGAAGAGATGGGTTTTAAGAAGGGATTTGAAAACAGACAAGGAAGAGGTCTGATTCTCAGACCTCTGTGAATAGCAAGGGGCCATCAGGGCACTAACGATCGGTTGTTAGGCTGATGGTCCTCCTTTATCACGTGAACAGCTAGTTTTGGCTGTCACCAGCAAACTGCTTGATCCACTATGAGAAGGTGCTATTTATAAGAATGAGTTTAGTCCAGCTCCTCAGACTGAAAGTCTTTTGGATAAAAGATGAAACGTTTCAACAGTTTTTTTTTTTTTTAATCTGTCCAGAGGACCTGACTTAACTTTGTTAGGCCTGTCTGATGTTCCATAGTCTAGGAGCTGCCACGGCCACTAATGAAAGAAACTAGATTTTACAGCTGATCTCATCCTTCTGTCAAATTTAAAACCGCCTTCAACTTGAGCCACTACAGTTGTGAGAGTTGGTTTGATGCACTGGGCAAGTGAACCAAGATGCAAAGTGGCAGAAGTTACCATGAAAACAAACCTTTTGTCTTCTCTGACCATGAACTGTTCTCCAGAAGGCAGCTGTACTTTTCTGTCCATCTTGAAGGCGTGCTGTTCAGGAGCTTCTTTGTTGGTCAGAACCCACTCATCTCGTGGTCATGTGACACTGGTGGTCCAGCAGTTTCCAGTTCATGGCAGGCTTAAGCCTTGCTGGTTCACTTGAACTTTCCAACCCAGTTCTTGTTTGTAAAAATCATCAAAGTTAAATAGTGTATAAAAATTCAGCTCTGCAATATGTATGGTTTGACAAAAAAAAATGAGTTAAGGCAGGAAATACAGAAATACTCATGCCGATGAAGCGTGTATGTAAATGTTGGGCTAAAACATTGTGTAACAATTTGTTTTTTTAATTATTAAAAAACCCTTTGAAGGGTTCGTGTTTGCACAAAGCAACCCTGATCTGCAGCTTTGGCACCTGCGAGTCGCAACTCACAAACACTTCGTCTCACCAAGCTGCACAAAACGACTTAATATCTGAGCACAACAAGAACCAGGTGACACAAAAAGAGTTTATTTTTAATCTGAGCTTTGGACAAAAAGTGAATTACCCGCCTGAAACTTGGGCACAATAATACCTGTCAAGTTTTATCTCCGAGGCTCTCCAGGTGCTTTTGTTCAGCAGAAGGATCGTCTGCAGTATGATGTGAGGCGTTGCCATGGAAACCCCTAGAAGTAGAATATGTTGATTCCCCCCCTTTGCCTTCTCATCGTCTGCGTCAATGTGACCTGTTAGTCATGCCAGTAATACACCACCACCACCTCGACCATCCTGTTGGTATGTTGGACGACAGCAGTGATGTCCCATTATCCTACCAGTGTTCTGTAAGAATGGCTGTCTGGTTCCAGGCGAGGAAACTTCAACACCAGGAGCTGAAGTTATATATTATGCAGCAGGTTTCATTTAAAGGCACTGCTTTCTTTGTTTTGGTTTGGGTTTTTTTGGGGACAAAAGTTGAATAAAATTTCACAAAATAACAAAAGCAGGTCGTTTTAAATCGGCTTCCTTAGTGAGAAGAAGCTGCGGAGCGTCTCCAGACTCGGGTTACCATCGTCTCTTGACCTCGCCTCACCTCCTCCTCCTCCTGTTTTCTAGGTCACGCTGACATGTGGAACGGAGACAGGCCTGCGATCGGCGAAGGAGCCCAGCAAATGCCAGTACATCATGGACTTTGAGACTCCTGTGGCCTGTCAGACGGTGCTGAAGCAGAGGGGCGTGCACAGTGAACTGTGAACCCCCCAACCTCCTTAGCCTAGAATAACTTGGACCCCTGCCTCCCACCCCTGTTGGCTCACCCACAGTGACAGACGGGGGGTCCGCGTTGTCAGAACGTATATTCTCCTCAGCTAGTTTGACTGAGGTCAGAATGGGTTTTTCAGTGAAACCACTTTAGTTTTAGTGGATCGTTCCTTCTGTTACAAACTGTTTTTATCAGAGCACAAAGACTCACACTGTTGCTTTGTAGAGCAAAATCACTACGAAGACGCAATAAGTGAAGTCAGATGAGTTGTAGGGTTAGTGCAGTGGCTTCCAATCCACAAAACAGCAGCAGAAACCCCTAACAGTGTTTTGTTAAAGTTAGCAAATATTGCAAATAGATCATTTAAACAAGAACATAACAAAAAAAACAAAAAAAACTTTATACCATTTCTATTCACTTATACAGTAAAATGTGTTGTGTCTTTTTGGCCACAACTGTAACAAGATTAGTAGTAGCCATTTTTAAATTGACTAAATCTCCAAACCTCAAACTTTGCTTTGTGTCCTATATGGACTCCTGAACCAACTTTGGGGCACACAGGAGAACCTTCTGACCCAAAGTTGAGGTAGCAACTTTGTTATGGGCCATGTAACACTTCAAATGATCTCCAGTACTCAAGGTGGCAATTAAATAAATAAAAAAACTGTTAGCAACTATTCTACATCATTACCAAGATTAAAACAATTCTTGTCATTGTACCTTTGTTTCATTGACTTCTGAGAAATGTATGGGTATGTTAACCAGCTAGCTGGTTGAAAGGTTCTGTCCAGGCTTAAAGTTGCGTGTTGAAAGCTACTGGTCTAGACCAGTGGTTCCATAATGTTTCATCTTTCAACTCTCAAAACAACAAATGGAAAGCTTTACATCCTCAAACACCTTTGGATGCAATCAGACTATGTGTCCATATACAGTGCAACAGAGCAGGCAAGAAAAATGTCAAAAACATATTATCCAGTGGAGATGGAGCTAGGTTGTTGAGGGCTTTGTAGGTTAGAAGTAATATTTTGAATTCTATTCTGAATTTGACAAGGAGCCAACCAGTCAACAGTGTGTAGGGTTTATACCTACACTTTTTTTAAATCTCAGGTAACAATTACAACAAGATATTCTAATAACAGCCATTGTTTGATTTTTGAAGAACCCCATCTTAGATGACATTCTAGCGAGCGTTTCCTATTTTTAAGTAACTGCCTGATGTACTGCAACAACAAAACAAAAATCCTTGAACTTAATGGTAGTGGCGTCTTTACTGTAGCCTCAATGAAAGGGATAGTCGAGCTCTTCAGGTGGGGTTCTGGGAAGGGTTATGAGAAATCGATATCCTACCAGTTGTCGATAGCTCGTTGAATGAGTTCAGAGAAAGTCGGATTCTGACCAGTTTGAGCTAATATGCACAACATGTGCTTGCCAATAATAGTTATTGTCAAGCACAAATAGCAGCAGCAGCTAGCTGTAGCACTTCTGGTGCTGGCCCACTTGGAATATTAGATTTCTACCAGAATAACCTTGTAACACACAATACATACTGGTTAGATAGCATCGGCATAAACTGCTATCAAAATGTAGAGTTCAGTTTGAAAGGGCGATAATCCACTTTGGTTTTGGCCCCACACCGACTAGCCATTAGCTCATCAAACGTGTAAAAATAAAAATAAAGTTTCCAAACCGAGTTTCAAAGAGGTTTGAAGTAGCACTTTACCTTCAGAAGGACAAGTCTCGAGGGTTCATATGTACAGTGGTATATTAGAGTATTCCTGTCAGAAAAGCCCAAAACAAATACTGACATATCTTCACTGCAAGAATTTGCTAAAACTTCAGAAAAGGTGGAGTTAAAAACTACCAAAAGCACATCGTTGTGACAGAGTTTTCCTTGGGGAGGGAACATAGGTGTTCCTGCTTCTTTAAGTCTGTGTGGGCAACTGCTGGTGTTTATAGTTCAGTCCACTTAGAGCTTTACAGTTTCCACACATGGCGAGGATCTGGCATCTGTCTTGACGTCAAAAACAAAGTTGGAAGGATTTCTCTCTAAGAATGTGGTTTCTGAGAGAGAAAATGTTCGAAGCTAATCTCCCCTCACTGTATTCCATCAAAACATGCGTCTCTACTAGGGATATTCAATAGGTGGCTCAGGGGACAAATCAGGCCCATGGGTGAACTCAGTTCAGCCCACCAATGGGTTTATTTTTAAATAAAACTAGATTTTAAACCATTAACAAACTTAATGACAATAACTGGTGGATGTCCAGCCCCTGAGCTCTTGGCTTTCAGTGACTATGGCCCCCTGAGTAATTTAGCTGAATAGCCCGGGTCTACGCTTTTCTTCTTCTTGTGGGTTGGCTATTTTTGTTGCCGTTTGTAATTTTGGTGCCAACGTTTTAGATGGAAGAAGTACTTAGTCAACACGGTCACATAAATCTGGGCTGCAGGCACTCAACCACTGACATTGAGAATTGCAGATGTTAGTAAATTTTGTAAGTACGCGAACACAGATAGCATGAACATCGTTTCCCTTCTAATGATTCTCAGAAGTATTCAGGTTTGGCTCCGCCCCTCCTCAGTTAGTGTACCGTATTTTTCGGACTATAAGGCGCATTAAGAGAAACAAAACGGATAAGTCGAACTTTATTCAACTCGTTCACAATAACCACATAAAATTGGTTTGAGGTCAGTAAAAACAACAAGAATTAATACATATGGTGCATCTGATTATAAGGCTTACTGTCAATTTTGGTTAAAATTAAAGTATTTTAAGTGCGCCTTATAGTCCGAAAAATACGGTAACTCTTTTCTGAATTGCCATCTTATTTGACCTGTGCCAACTTGGGATCAGAAATGCAAAGGGATATACCTGGATGAAAACTTTAGTTGCCACGACAACCACCCACCACTCAAAACTGGCATTTTCATAAAGTTCACATTAAACGTCAGGTAGGTAAGTCTCAACTGAAAACTTCTTACAGACCAAAGTGTTTCTCTTCCTGAACAGGTTCAGTGTTCTGATTGGTTACTTACAAAGTGTTGAAAAAGCTCCGCCCTCTTTTTGTTTTTTTACGTCAGCCTTCCTAAAACTGCAAACGTTTAATGCATATACATTATATTAATCCTAACAAAGATTAAACAAATCAGTTTTGTTCCTTTTCCAAGAGTCGTTTGCTTTAAATAATAACCCATGGCTTACAAATATACTTCTTTTTTTATCAAAGAATTTCTCGAAGGCTGAGCACCACAGCGTCAAGACAAAGTATTAACGCATTAACAGCTTTGTAGAACAAATAGAAGAAATGTCCTTGCTACATTTTTACAGCACACTAATAAATTGCTTCAAAGTTCACAATTATGTACATTCACCCACGTTTCTTAAACCATCTTCCTAAGGAGATTTTCTATTTAGAAGCTTAATTGCACTGTCGATACATGTACAGATTAAATGCCAGGATTTTATGATGTAAAAGAAATAGCCCACGATCAATCATTTCTAAACTTTTATTTTATTTTTTTTTACATTTATGGTGACATAAAAATAACTTTGGTTAGGCCATCTGGACAGTTTGTGTTGAAACGTTTCATCTATCATTCAAAGGACTTCATCAGTCCGAGGAGCCACAACAAACAGTCCCATAAGTAGCACACTCACATAGTGGGCCATAACTTTGTGACTTAACTTTGTTGGATTACCTGGATTATTGAGCATGAACTTTGATGTTTTGAACCACTTTCCATGGCTGCCTCAGACGAGTCAACGGGGCAGAGAGTGGACTCCAGAAACCACCTTATCACCATCAAACTGGTTGGTCCACTATGTGAGTGCGCTGCCTGTGGGACTGAGTTTGTTGCGGCTCCTTGGACTGATGAAGTCCTTTGGATGAAAGACGAAACGTCTCAACAAGAAAAGAAACTGTCCAGATGATCTGACTGAACTTTGTTGGCTTCACATTTGAGCATTTAAACCGTTGCGTACTTTTCAGCTAGACGTGCCGAAACATTGTTTCTGTCAGCTGGAAATCCCTCTTCAGCTTGGAATAGATTGTGTGTTGAACGTGGAGGGTTCACGTTTCTGTAAGGACGTCACTTTGGGTTCTTTGAGGGTGTGTTCCTTTGGATAGAAGAATGATCTCGCTCTCCTTGCAAGTTTATTTTAATACAGTTTGTCAAACTTTAATCCTGAATCCAGAGCGATTGTTGAATGTTTCTAACAGCTGGGAAAACATTGTATCTGATGAACTCCTTCAGTCGCCATGTCTTGGTCCTTTCGAAAACCTTTTGGTCCTATCACGTCAATATGAACCAAGACATGAGGAATGTTACCAGCACCTTGTTGAATGTTCGTCCCGTTGAACTGAAGCTGTTCTGAAGGTAAAATGGATTCCACCCCTGTACTAGCAAGGGTATCCGTATGATCTGTACAATTCAAGTGGAAAAAAATATGTTGCATTGGAATTTAAAAAAAAAATAAATTAAAAAAGCATCACATCCTAAACAAATATTTATGCCTGTAAACTTGTCGCTTTTCGACAAAAATTGCTGATTTCAAAGGCGTGGTAGATGGCATAATTTCCCATTGACTGGACACGTAGCGCTAGCTTAGTGCTACGTTAGTGCCAGCAGTTGTCGACTGGCGGTGTTAGGATGTGCGAGTGAAGCGGAGCGCTACGTCTGTAGCATCTTAGCTAGCGTGTCTGCAATGTGCGCCGCTAGCTTAACGCTACGTCAACGTTTGAACAATAGCCGTCTGCCACATACACCAAGATTATGCCCTAAGGTTTGAAAAGTGCGCCCCACAACAGGTGCTGGGTCTGTCACCTTTTTCATCCTTTGTCAGCTTGCAGGTATAAATACTGTGTTGACGCAGCTTCTGGTTTAATCGATCTTTATAGGAAGGAGTCAGTAATCGAGCCACACAGTGCAGCATTTTTACACTTTTCTTTGCTAAAGAGCTAAGTGTGTGATCACATGACCCCACACTTTCAAAAACTATATCAAATTTAGGCCTTCAGAGACCTTTAGGTGAATGGGCAATATTTTTGCCCACGTCTGTGTGCGCTAAAGATTTGATGAACCAGTGGATGGATTTTAATGGACGCTCAAATAAATCATTAGACGTCTATCTGCTATCGATTAACCCTATTCAAGATGGCCGTCACAGCTAGTCCACATTAGCAAACACACAAAAGACTCACTTTTA